ATTTCTCCCTTTCGTCCTGAGTTCGAGTGTCTTCATAGCCCACGACACCTTTGGTAAAGGCTGTTCTCCAATTGGAGCGCTCGCAGGCCAGTGTTTCTCAATTCTCGGTGTTTATACTACAGTGTCCGGCTGAAAGGTGAGATCAAGAAAGAAGTAGTAAATCTGTACCTATAACTGTAAAGCAGTTGGTGCCCTTGGGATATTATTGGACTGCAAGTTCCATCATCCTTGGCTATTGGCTGCTTGGGCTTCTGGGAGCTGAAGTCCTACAAAATTTGGAAGGGAAGCACATTGGCAGGCCTTGTCTGTAAACATAAATGCAGCCAGTGAGTACGGAGTGGAAAATTTGTATGACTGTGGAATTTTTCTGTGGAAAAATTTCCATGCATTGTTGCCTAAAATTCATTAGTGACATAATAAATAGCAAAAATTGAAAAAGTGTTTTGCGGTCCCTTAAGGACATTCATTTTACTACGACCTTTATATCCCACCTTTTCCCCAAAGGGCTCAGGGGTGGCATATTATGGGATGAGCTTTCATGGAGTCAACAGTTCAGTGCATGAATTGTTATCCTGTGTTACACTTGGCTGGTGAGGAATTGTAAGCTGCGAGATAAGAGGAAAATGAAATGTGGATTGTACCATATGTGATAGCCACTAACAGTGGCAATTTTGCAAAGTGTTGGTAGTAGATAATTTGCAGAGCACTGGTGTCAATAGCACAAGCGTCCTTGCATCGATAAGCCAATAAGCACAAAGAGCATAATAAAAATCCAAGCTGTTGATTCAGCCCACGAGTGATAGCACCAAGCCTCTTGACCAGGGGTGAGCAAACTTTTTCAGCAGGGGGCCGGTCCACCGTCCCTCAGACCTTGTGGGGGGCGGACTATATTGGGGGGGGGAATGAATGAATTCCTATGCCCCCCAAATAACCCAGGGATGCATTTTAAATAAAAGGACACATTCTACTCATGTAAAAACACGCTGATTCCCGGACCGTCTGCTGGCTGGATTTCGAAGGCGATTGGGACGGATCCTGCCCGTGGGCCATAGTTTGCCTACCCATCCTCTTGACAAATCTTAGTTCGGGTTTTAATCTCCCTTTGAAGTTCATTGGTTCAAGGGTGACCCCTTTAGTTATACAGTGGCCTGGGAGGTCGATGTATTCGGATTTATGGATATTGCTGGTGTCAGATTTGTGTACTCTCTTGCATATAGAGTCTGGCCTGTTTGTGATATGTCGTATGCAGAAAGGAAATTAATTTCAGACCGATAGTGGAATATACACATTAGAAGGTGGGTCTGTGAATGAAACCCTGATGCAATGGATGATGTTGTTAAATCCACAGTAGACAGAAGAACAGATTTAGCATCTGGATCTGAACTGTTTTAAAGTTGTCTGTGACTTCTTTCATGTGACTTGAAAGCACGCAAAAGTATTTAGGCACGGTAAGATGCCTTCCATGTATATATTTGGGTTTCTGTGTCATAATATGTCTACAAATATCCCAGCAACTTCGAAGTGATTGCGTGAATAAGTTTCATTATAATGATTTAAATCACATTTAAGTACATTTATTGACAGCCCCATCAATCATTTATTCTGGCTAGGAAGAGAACTTTTTCAAGATTTTATCCAGCATGTAAAATTGGCATGGAGCACTTCTTAAAAGTTTTAATCCAAAAGTCTGAGTGGTTCAATGCCTTTATTGGAAGCAATTCAAATGTCACAGTGTAGAGGCAGATTTTTAAGTTCAAGAGGCCCCCCTTCATCAGGCTAGAAACATGTAGAACATCTTTCTTATGTAACCAGTGTGGTGCAATGGTTGGTCTAGACAGCTGGGAACTTGGGTTCAAATCTCCATTCAGCCTTGAAGCCAACTTGGTGACCTTGAGTGAGTCATCATTTCTCAACCATGGCTACCTTTCAGGGTTGTTGTGAAGATAAAATGGGGAGGGGAAAACCGTGTGTGCCTCCTTGGAAGAATGATGGGGGTATAAATGGAAGAATTAAAACAGAAAATAAAACAGAAATGGCAAAACAAAATAAAAAAATTCCTTCCAGTAGCACCTTAGAGACCAACTAAGTTTGTTATTGGTATGAGCTTTCTTGTGCATGCACATGTCTTCAGATACACTGAAACAGAAGTCACAAGACTCTTATATATAGTGAGAGGGTGGGGAGGGGTATTACTCAGAAGGGGGTGGGAATGGGTGATTGACAGCAGGTGGTGCTGTGGTCTAAACCACAGAGCCTAGGGCTTGCTGATCAGAAGGTCGGCAGTTCGAATCCCCACAACGGGTTGAGCTCCCGTTGCTCGGTCCCTGCTCCTGCCCACCTAGCAGTTCGAAAGCATGTCAAAGTGCAAGTAGATAAATAGGTACCGCTCCAGCGGGAAGGCAAACGGCGTTTCTGTGCGCTGCTCTGGTTTGCCAGAAGCGGCTTAGTCATGCTGGCCACATGACCCGGAAGCTGTACGCTGGCTCTCTCGGCCAGTAAAACGAGATGAGTGCTGCAACCCCAGAGTCATTCGCGACTGGACCTAAGGTCAGGGGTCTCTTTACCTTTACCTTTAAGGTGCTACTGGAAGGATTTTTTTTTATTTTGTTTCGACTATGGCAGACCAACACGGCTACCTACCTGTAACTAAAAAAGGCAAGGAGAGAGAAGCAGCAGCTGAGTGTGAGGTAAAAGACTGCAATCTGTAATAGTTTTGAAATGACAAGCAGAAAGGATAGGTGCAAAACAGATTCAGGTTCCAGTTGATTTATACGATTTGGGGGGGGGGATCCTGGTTCAAAACTTTCCAGAAAGCCTGCACCACCAAATGCAACAAGGCTCATTTGCTCACTGGTGTTTGCACAGAGTGGGGAACAGTTTATGGTCTGTTTGTCTGTTGACAGTGGCCTGCAAACCTCCTCTTTCAGCCCCTCCTCCTCAGGTTCAATGTTTTTTGCTTGGCCTCTCCTGAGTCAGTCATCACGTTCCCCCAGTGTCTTCTGAGGCAAGTGAACCAAAGTTCTTAGGCAAGAAAACCCAGATTGAGTGTGCCCACTGAGCAGACTCTTGAGAGTCCCATGGACTGCAAGAAGATCAAACCTCTCCATTCTTAAGGAAATCAGCCCTGAGTGCTCACTGGAAGGACACATCCTGAAGCTGAGGCTCCAATACTTTGGCCACCTCATGAGAAGGGAAGACTCCCTGGAAAAGACCCTGATGTTGGGAAAGATGGAGGGCACAAGGAGAAGGGGAAGACAGAGGAGGAGATGGTTGGACAGTGTTCTTGAAGCTACCAGCATGAGTTTGAGCAAACTGTGGGAGGCAGTGGAAGACAGGAGTGCCTGGCGTGCTCTGGTCCAGGGGGTCACGAAGAGGCGGACACGACTAAGCGACTAAACAACAACACCTAACGCTTGGCGTCCAATGAAGTTGAATGTTGGAAGATTCAGGATGGATAAAAGAAAACACTTCATTGCTCAGTGCATGGTTAAACTGTGGAACTCACTTCCACAGGAGGGAGTGATGACCACCAACGTGGATGGCTTTCAAAGCAGATTAGACACATTCATGGAGGTGGAGTCTATCAATAGCTTCAACTAGCCTTGACAGCTGCCTCCAGAGTTGGAAACTGTAAATGGTACTAACTGCAGGTTGCCTCCAGAGGAGAGTTGCTCCTGCTCTCTGGTTTCCCACAGGGATTTGGTTGGCCACTGTGAGAACAGGATGCTGGACTAGACGGGTCATTGGCCTGATCCAGAAGGTCTCTTCTAGCGTTCTTGCTCACTCATCTGCCGCTTCCAGAGGACTGGCTAAGTGCCATCACGGCACATTTTGTACTCTTGGGTATTAAGAGCAACATAGGCAGCTGCCTTCTTCCAAGTCAGATCCTTGGTCCATCTAGCCCAGTATTGTCTACACTGACTGGCAGCTGTTCTTCAGGGTTTCAGATGGAGAGTCTATCCCAGATGCCAGGGGGAAAGTGGATGGTTCAGATTTGCAATGGACAATTTATGGAGAAGAACAGACCTTTTAGAGGTTTTAAGCTGTGTTTAATGCTTGGTCTGGGTGGAGTAGTTGAGTGTGGGCAAGACCTAGTCTGGGGCTCTGCAAAGGAATGTAGCCAGCTCCAGGGCTCCAGTTAAAGTATATTTATTGAAGAAGTAAGGCACACACAGAGAGAAATAGAAACTGGCAATTAAAGAAAAAACTGCACTGAACAGGAAACATAAAGTCCTTGTAAGTGCCCCCGTTGCAGAAGATCTTACAGGAGGAACTTGGGTCCTGGGAGCACAGTTACTGGTTTGTTTTTATTTCACGATGTGTTTTGTGTTCTCTTTTTGTATTTTTATGTTATGAACCGCCCTGTGATCTTCGGATATACTATTAATAATAATATTAATAACGATAATAATAATACTTGCGGGAGAGGAGAAGGGAGATGCTGCTCTCTTGCAGCAACACGGAGAGCAAAAAACATTAGAAAGATTACCTATGGCAATTCAAGAAGGGAGGAGTGGCGAGGAGAGAGGTAGCTGGTTAGGAAGAGAATACCCTACATGTGTCCTAGTGTAACGTAGCGGTTAGATTGTCACAGTAAGACCTGAGTTCAAATCCCCCACTCAGCCACGAAGCTCACTGGGATGACCTCAGAAGCCAGCCCCTGCCTCTCAGGCGGATTAAATGAGGAGGGGCAGAATCACATATGGCACCTTGAGCCCTTTTTTGGGTGGGGGAGGTAATAATAATAATAATTTTATCATTTGTATCCAAGCCTAGGGCTTGCCGATAAAGAAGGTCAGTGGTTCGAATTCCCACGACGGGGTGAGCTCCTGTTGCTCAGTCCCTGCTCCTGCCAAATCTAGCAGTTCAAAAGCATGTCAAAGTGCAAGTAGATAAATAGGTACCGCTCCGGCGGGAAGGTAAACGGCATTTCCGTGCGCTGCTCTGGTTCGCCAGAAGTGGCTTAGACATGCTGGCCACATGACCCGGAAGCTGTCTGCAGACAAACGCCGCAGTCATTCATTTATGAGGAATATTATGATTTTAAAATTACATCTTTTTTCTTTTTTGTGTATTGTAATACTTGTCGATCTATGATAATAACAATTACGAACATACTCTGAAAACAAGAATATGTATAATTGTAAGATGTCAAGTCATGATGTAAAGATACACTTGTGAGTAATAGAGGAAAAACTAATAAAAAACAAAAAATCCACCCCCAACCACGGCCATGGGGGTGGGGATGTGCAGAGAGGTCCTACTTGCCTCTGCCCCATCCTCCCCTTCCAGAACAGCTGTGCTACTTTAAAACGACATTTGTTTTCGGCATTGCTCTTGGGAGTCAGCTGATGGCGCCCCTCCCTTCCCAGCAGCTGGCAGAGGCACATGTGCAGACAGGCTTGTAAAGGAGGTCTGTCAGGCGGAGGCGACGCTGGAAAAAGTTGCTGCTCTCCCCTTTTCGTAAGGGCTTCGCAAGGGAGAGGCTCGGTTGCGATGGACAACGGTCAGTGTCTCTAGAGGACGGCTGCTTGTTCCAGAGGTCTCCTCACCCCCCCCACAACCTGCCACGTTTTCCAGAGACCGAAAAAGGTTACGTCAGCTGCCTCCCCCCCCTTTTGCCTTGGGGAGCTGCACCATCGCTGTTTAAACGGGGCTCTCGCCTCGAAAACGTTGCGTGCCGAAAGGACCGGCAGCGAGGGCAGGAAAGGGCAAGCAAAATGGCCAAGTGGGTGGAGGGACAACCCCCCCTCCCTTGGGGGATGGTTGCAGCATTTGGGGGCTTTTCTAGAGGAAAGTTGAGTCGGAGGAGTTGGAGTTTATAAAATTGTGCGTGGCACGGTATCAAAAGCTCTTCTCTTCCTCTCTCGTAACGCTTGCGGGCATCCATTGAGGCCGAATGCTCGAAGATCCAGGGCAGGTTTTAATAAAAGTCGTGCCGCGCGTAGTTAAACTGTGGAACTCCCTCCCACAGTTTTGACCGTGTTGACCACCAACTTGGATGGCTTTAAAAGAAGCTTTGACTTTTAGAAGACGTCTGAAGGCAGCCCTGTGTAGAGAAGTTTTCAGTGTTGGGCGTTTTGCTGTGCTTAATGTTTTAACTTCTTGGAAGCCAACCCAGAGTGGTCGGAGCAACCCAGTTAGATGGGTGACATATTAATAACAACAATAATATTGACATATTTGTGGGCTGTCAATGGCTAGAGGCTGTGTGTCTATATATACTCTGCCTTCCTCACTGGGAGTAGCAATGCATATGGATGCGAGTTGCTGGGAAACACAGGAGAAGAGAGTGATTCTGTGCTCCGATCCTGTTTGAAGGCTTCCCAGGGGAAATCTGAATGGCCACTGTGAGAACAGGGTGCTGGACAAGGCGAGCCATTGGCCTGATCCAGCCAGCTGCTCTTATGCAGATTTATATACTTAATCAAACTCTTAATCTGGGTAACCGGGTTCGCGTCTCCGCTCCTCCACATGCAGCTGCTGGGTGACCTTGGGCCAGTCACATTTCTTTGAAGTCTCTCAGCCTCACTCACCTCACAGAGTGTTTGTTGTGGGGGAGGAAGGGAAATGAGATTGTGAGCCGCTTTGAGACTCCTGAAGGGGAGTGAAAGGCGGGATATCAAATCCAAACTCTTCTTCTTCTTCTTAATTGCTCTCCTATGCTTCCTTCGGCAGCGTTGCATAAAGAGCCAGCAACAGTGGTCAGTGAGCTGGATTTAGGCTGGGTTCAAACTAGCTTGATGGTCTTGTGCCAACCGCTAACTCTCAGCCCAGCCAAACCCACAGGGTTGTTGGTTATGATGAGAAAAGTGGGATGAACTGTGAGCTCATTCTCAACTCCTTGGAAAAAAATGAGGGCTTGTTTGTTTGCTTGTTTAAGAAAAACATGAAATACTTTGGTTATCAAGCCGAAAAATATCTTCAGAATGGCATACGCAGAAATGGCGAAATTGACCGGAAGAATAAGAAATCAAGATAAACAACTTTTTAAAATAAAAGAATGGAAATGGTTTATTGAATATTTACAGTTAAATTGTAAACAGATAAGCTCATTGGCAGGATTATTGTAATAACCTGCAGTTTTATAAGAGTATGTCTTTAAAGTAGATGAGTAAATGAGCAAATTAAGTTAATTTGCATATGCAGAGGATATTAAAAATAAATTTAAGAAACCGCAGGAAGAGGGGGGAGGAAGTCAAGTTTTGAAATGTTAAAATGATTGTAAAATTAGTGAAAGGTATAAACTTGGAAAGTATAAATAAAATTTGAAAAACAAACAAAGACTTCAGGGATACAGTTTCACACCAGCCCTTGTACGTTAGGAAGCTGGGATATTGCTTTATTCTCAGGGTGACCCTTGATCCATTTATCCCAATATTATCTGTTCCGCAGCTAATCTCCCGGGCAGAGAAGTCTTTCCTGGTTCCTCATCCTTTCTGGAGATGCCAGCAATTGAACCTGGAACCACCTGCATGCAGAACATAAAGCATTACAACGGATGCTCCTGATGAATAGAAGAAGCTGCCACATACCAGGTCAGATGATGTGTCCATTTACTTCAGTATTGCCTACTCAGACTGGCAGTGGCTCTCTAGCCTATCAGGCTGCGGCTTGAGGTTCTCTTAACTGGAAGTGGAAGTCTTTTGACCTTCTGTAAGTGTCTCATGTGCTAAACCACTGGCCTGCAGTCCCTCCCCATTGCAGGGGTATCTGGGACATGTTCTAGACTGGGCACTCAATACGGCCTCTGGTCTCATTTCGCGTGACTCCTGAAGCTGCCCTATTCTTCTGAGTTCCTTCCTTCCTGTTCATTTTCTGCAGTTTTTAAAGTGTGTCTTCCCCTCTTTCTGTTGTAGTTTCAGGACAATTATTGGACGGATGGACCATAATTTATCTGAGAAAAATAAATGGGTGGTTTCTTTTAAAATCTTTCCCTGGTTGTATAGCTTATAATTGCATGGTTGATAATAAAAAATAAAAACATCCCCCTCCCACAAGCTATCTGAGAACAAATTGGTAGACTTTTGCCAGTTATGCATATATGTTTGTTTACGTAGCACACCAAAGCCAGAAAGGCGCTACTTTCACTTGCTTCTCAGATCTCTAGCTGTATTGGTCTGCTTTACTAAAATAAAATCCAGTGCACTTATTTGAGAGTAACCCTGTTAAACTCAGTGGGGCTTACTTCTGAGTAGACCAGTATAGCATTGGGCATTCTGTTCTGAACTAGCCATGGTGGAAATTGTGACAGAGAGGTCTTTAGTTAACCCAGGACTCTTGTTTCTCTTGCTCCATCCATTGCTGGCCTTTGGCCTCTGAGTGCTTACCCCCAGGGAATGTGGCTTTTGACAGAATTAAAAGTTTCCACCCTCTGATGGAAAGTGCTACCAAACCCCTGGGGCCTCTGTCTTGCCTTGCGCAATGCGAGAATTCCCCTTAAAACAGACATTAAAAAACCCAGACATATGCAGTTGCAGCTGCGTGTTCCAAGGGAAATCGATATTAAGGGCAAGTTGCTTGTCCATCGCACCTGATTGTCTGCTGGAACAGGGATGACTAACCTGTGGCCTTCCAGATGTTGCCAAACCCCAGCTCCCATCGTCCCTGACCATTGGTCATGCTGGCTGGGGTTGGTGGAAGTTGGAATCCAGCATCATCTTAGGAAGAACCATAGTATTGCAGGAAGGGACCACCAGGGTCATCTAGACCAACCCACTGCAATGCAGGAATCTTTCCCCATCATCGGGCTTGAACCCACTACCCTGAGATTAAGAGTCACCGTAAGGGGCACACACTCCCTGCCCTTTGCCTTTGGGCCAGTCAGCCTCTAAAGCAGCGGTTCTCAACCTGTGGGTCCCCAGATGTTGTTGGACTACAACTCCCATCATCCCTGAGCTCTGGCCTTGCTAGCTAGGGGCAATGGGAGTTGTAGTTCAACAACATCTGGGGACCCACAGGTTGAGAAAGGCTGGATTCTAAAGCATGCTTCTCCAGGAGAAGAGCTGGAAAACCACCAACTTTATTCGTCATCATCATCATCATCGACTTTTATTGCGCTAGCCATAGGCCATGGCATCATTCAGAAAAACAACAAAAGGAAAAACAGCAATAAGCATAAAAAGCATCAGGCACCACACACACAATATAAACCACGGTCACAACTACAGTACTAAGATTGTTTGTTGCATAAAATAGAATAGCAAGAGACAGGAAGAGACTGGTCAACAGTGGAACAGACTCCCTCGGAAGATGGTGGACTCTCCTTTCTTGGAGGCTTTTAAGCAGAGGTTGGAGGGCCACCTGCCATGGATGCTTTAGTTGAGATTCCTGCATAGCAGCGGGTTGGACTAGATGACCCCTGGGCCCCTTCCAGCTCTCCAGTTCTATGATTCTATGAAAACTTATATGCATGTAAAGAAACATCTCAAAGCATTTTGCAAAAAGAATTAAGACAATAAATTTGCCAGTGAAAACAGCTGCATGAAAAATTCACACAGTTATTAAATCAGTGTTAAGCTAAGAACAGAATGAAACATGCTTCAGCATTTTACATATCTGGGTAGGCTTGTATTTTCTTACAAATGCAAAAGAGGTCTTTTTTGGAGCTGTCAAGTGGGCAAATATGGGTAAGACAATCTTCCATATACAGTAGTACCTCGGGTTACATACGCTTCATGTTACAGACTCCGCTAACCCAGAAACAGTACCTCGGGTTAAGAACTTTGCTTCAGGATGAGAACAGAAATCGTGCTCTGGTGGCACAGCGGCAGCAGGAGGCCCCATTAGCTAAAGTGGTGCTTCAGGTTAAGAACAGTTTCAGGTTAAGAACGGACCTCCGGAACGAATTAAGTACGTAACCAGAGGTACCACTGTATTGTATGAATTTTACTCTTCAGCTTCCTTTTGGGTGTGTGTGTGTGTGTGTGTGTGTGTGTACATACACACACACAAGATTTCCTTGGTTTACAAAAGTGCATACCTTGTCTCTTTTTTCAGGTTGTACAGTCTTTCTTACAATTTAGTTACAATTGTTGTGAGACATTAGTGTTCAGTATAAGGCTGGGGAAGAAGAGGGGGGAAACTCTCTTAGCTTCCTTGAATCACCCTCCCTTATTTCCTATTTGGGTGCTTCATTTTGAATGGCCCCTCCCCACTGCTCCCCTTTTCCATTCTGTCTTCCTGACCATCTTGTGTGGAGAAGGAGGCTAACCTTGTATTTGACCTCCTTACAGGTTCCCCACTGTCCTCAAACCGCCATGCTGGCTCTCAGATATTTCCAGCAGAGCTGGAGGTGAGCGCAGCATGAGTTAGCTGCTGCCGACGCCTCCGGCCAGGATGACCAAAGCACGCCTCTTCCGCCTCTCGGTGGTGCTGGGCTCCATCTTCATGATCCTGCTGATCATCGTCTACTGGGACAACGTGGGGACAGCTCACTTCTACTTGCACACGACCTTCTCCAGGCCTCATGGGGTCCTCCCCACCGTGGCCAAGGACGGAGGCCAAGACTCAATGTCGGACGTTGATGAGTTCTTGGAGAAGCTCCTGAGCTCTGACCTGAAACGCGATGTGGGTCTCGGTCAGAAGACAGAGCCGCCTGCCCCGCACGCCTCCGCGAGGCCCGTCGCCGGGAACTTGGAAGAGAACGTGAGGGGCTACGACTGGTCCACTCGTGACGCCGGCGCTGTCTTGGACCAGGAGCAGCTGCAGGCGGAGCGGCGCCGGACGCTGAGGGAGCTGTGCGCCAACTCCAGCTTCGCCTTCCCCACCAAGGAGCGCTCCTTTGACGACATCCCCAACTACGAGCTAAACCACCTCATCGTGGACGACCGCCACGGCGTCATCTACTGCTACGTCCCCAAAGTGGCCTGCACCAACTGGAAGCGGGTGATGATCGTGCTGAGCGAGAGCCTGATGGACCAGGGCGTGCCGTACGCAGACCCCTTGGACATCCCCCGCGAGCACGTCCACAACACCAGCACCCACTTCACCTTCAACAAGTTCTGGCGCCGCTACGGCAAGTTCTCCCGCCACCTCATGAAGATCAAGCTGAAGAAGTACACCAAGTTCCTCTTCGTCCGAGACCCTTTCGTGAGGCTCATCTCCGCCTTCCGCAGCAAGTTCGAGCTGGAGAACGAGGAGTTCTACCGCCGGTTCGCCATCCCGATGCTGAAGCTTTACTCCAACCACACCAGCCTGCCCACCTCGGTGAGCGACGCCTTCGAGGCGGGCCTCAGGGTCTCCTTCTCGGACTTCATCCAGTACCTCCTGGACCCCCGGACCGAGAAGCTGGCCCCGTTCAATGAGCATTGGAGGCAGGTGTACCGCCTCTGCCACCCGTGCCAGATCGAGTACGACTTTGTGGGCAAGCTGGAGACTTTGGATGAGGATGCAGCCCACCTGCTGCAACTCCTGAAGGTGGAACACCTTCTCCGCTTCCCTCCCAGCTACCGGAACAGGACAGCCAGCAGCTGGGAGGACGACTGGTTTGCCAAAATCCCCGTGGCCTGGAGGCGGCAGCTGTACAAGCTGTATGAAGCGGACTTCGTCCTTTTCGGTTACCCCAAGCCAGAAAGCTTGCTTCAGAACTGAGCGAGGCAGAACGGAGGGAAAGAGAGCGTTTGAAATACCAAAATATCTCCTCTTCTTTTTCCAGAGCCCTTCCGTTGACATAACACAAGTGCAACTTTTTTCTATAGTCTTTTTTTAAAAACAAAACAAAACCACCCCATTGCTCGGACGCATGGAATCTCCCATTGCAGGAAGACATTCCCCTTCCTCTCGTTCCGATTCATTTTATGAAATGTACCTTTTTTTTGTTTTTCTGTTAGGATATAAGTTTGTCCACTCCACCAGCTGTATTCTTTCGGGTGCTTTTTATTAATGCATTTTTTTAATTAAAAGAGAGCACGAGAAAGAGAGAATATTAATATATTAAAATATTTAATACAAATCATTGTTGTGGAATGGGAATAAAGGGGCGCACCATCTTTCGTTGCAACTGTTCAGCTGTGAGTGTCCGCCGGAACTTTTCTAGCTTGGGAAGGCAGCAAAGTCAAACATTGTAAGTGTGTTCAGGGGAGCAGGCTAGCTTCTCACAATACTTTTTGAAAAGAATAATGCAGGTACATTTTGCCTTGTATCGTGGGTTCTACAAACACTAGAAACTTCTCTCTCCTTAAATGAATCTTTATTGCTAAAAGCTATAAGATGTCCCAATTGGTCCCAATGTGTAGGATACAAATAATTGATTTAAAACTGAACAACAGCAGCACCAAAGCAAACATACAAAAATGCAAAAATAACTCTTGCATAAGTTAAGCACTCCACATCGCACACTCCCCCTTATGCCCCTTATGTCTTGGTGCCTAGCTCTCAACTTACTTGCAGCCAAGGCAAATTTTGCAACCCGTGCAGTCATAAATACATTATTGCCAGCCAGCAAAATAGAGATTTGCTCAAGGGGAGGTCGGCTGGAAAGAGAGAGCAAAGAATGTAATCGAGGAATTTTTGTCTAGAAGATGTATATAAAGGGCATCGTAACAAATAGTGTTGAATGTCCTCCATGTCTCCCGACTAACAGCTCCAGAGTCTTGGGTACACTGGGGTGTTATTGAATCTTGCCGTTAGATATGCGGAGGGCATGCACTGAAAACTCAAAGCTGTAAACGCTTTTCTAAGTGGTGTATTCTCTCTCCTCCTTAATGAAAGCTGGAAAATGGGGGGTAATGTTTTGTCTGTAGTGGGTGGAACACCTCTCCCTTCACCCCATAAGAATGTAAGAAGAGCCTGCTATATCTGGTCAGTGGTCCCAGCAGTCCAGCATCCTGTTCTCACAGTGGAAGACCAAATAATGCCTGTGGGAAACCAGCAAGCAGCAGCTGAGCACAAGAGCCCTCTCTCCTCCCATGGCATCCAGCGACTGGTACCCGTTCCCGCAGACATCCATGATGCCCAGCTTGTTGTTGGTGGGGCACTGTAGACATGCCTGAGTTTTGTAAAGCTGGGTAGAGCAAAATAATAATTTAATAATAATAATAATTTATTATTTATACCCCGCCCATCTGGCTGGGCTTCCCCAGCCACTCTGGGATGCTTCCAAAAAAACATTAAAATACTCTAATACATCAAACATTAAAAGCTTCCCTAAACAGGGCTGCCTTCAGATGTCTTCTGAAAGTCTGGTAGTTGTTCTTCTCTTTGACATCTGGTGGGAGGGCGTTCCACAGGGCGGGCGCCACTACCGAGAAGGCCCTCTGCCTGGTTCAAAAGGGCCAGTTTTCAAATTGATGCTTGGCCAGCTGCAGCAATCTACTAAAGGGTGTAGAACAGCCTTTCTCAACCTGTGGGTCTCCAGATGTTGTTGAACTACAACTCCCATCACCCCTAGCTAGCAAGACCAGAGCTCAGGGATGATGGGAGTTATAGTCCAACATCTGGGGACCCACAGGTTGAGAACCGCTGGTGTAGAACAACAACAACAATAATAGAATTTATTACTTATACCCTGCCCATCTGGCCAGGTCTCCCCAGCCACTCTGGACGGCTCCCAACAAAATACTAAAAACACGATAAAACATCAAACATTACAAACTTCCCTAAACAGGGCTGCCTTCAGATGTCTTCTAAAAGTCAGATAGTTGGTGGGTAGGCATTCCACAGGGCGGGCGCCACCACCGAGAAGGCCCTCTGCCTGGTTCGCTGTAGCTTCACTTCTCGCAGGGAGGGAGCCACCAGAAGGCCCTCAGAGTTGGGCCTCAGGGTCTGGGCAGAACGATGGGAGTGGAGACGCTCCTTCAGGTATCCTGGGCCAAGGCCGTTTACCAGGGACAAGGGAACCTGTTATTGAGCTGCAAAGGGCTTTATATGTTAGTGCCAACAACTCCCTGAACTTGGCCTGGTAGCAAATCAGGTGTAGAGAGGCTGGTATAACTTAGGCACTCCACACATGTTTAAAGCAGCTCTGTTTTCCATTTTCCAAAGATGATCCGTGTGGCAATGTCATGCTGCCCTCTTAACCTGTGGCTCCCTCCCCTTCTCTATCGCTGCCCCAAAGCAGTTCATGCAGCAGCACAACACATTTAATTCATTCAATTTATATCCTGCTCAACCTTCTGCAGGAGCTCAGAGTGGCAGTACACTTCAGGGCAGCAAAGAACTTGGAACAGGGCAGTTGCAGTGAGAGTGGTCCTTCCATTTTCCCTGCAAAAGCACCACCATGGTGCAAAGCGACGCTCTGGACAGCAGCCGAGTTGCTGAAATGCTAAGGACAAGAAGTGTCCCCACTTCTAAATGCAATATCTCAGTCTGTGCCTAAATGCCCTTGTGGTGCACTCGTTACCCATGATGCAACGCTGCCAGCTGAAAACCTTCTCTTCTTGTTATATAGCTTTGCTGCCAAAATCTCAGAATCACAGCCAGGGGAAACATGAGCAAAACAAGGGCCTTGGAAGATTTCAGCGCAGAAAGAAAAACAAACAAGGCTCGCTTTGTCAGAAGGGGAGTCTGAATGCATCGGAACAAATAAATGTGAAGAAAATAAGTTAAATTGGCAATTATTTTTATTTTTAAAGAGCCCTTTCCATCAAAAAATGTATTGGGAACATCACTTAAGAGGGCCAAGTGATGTAATATGGCCGCTGGACAGAACTGGCTTCAGACTAATCTTTTGCAATATGGAGAGGTCATGTTTCCTTGAATTATGAGTTCATTGTTATTTCGTGTGCAGAAGAAAGTGTTGGAGGTGGAAGGAAGGGGTGTGGATGTTTCAGTTTGGCATTCCATGTTGTGTTAACTTAAAACAACATTGGGGTGCTCATCAACTTTGCAGATGGCATCTCCCTTTTGTATTCTCATGACAGTCCTGTGAGTTTGGTTAGGCTGAGGGTGAGTGTCTGGTGCAAGGTCACCCAGGGAGATTCATGGCTAAGTGGGGGTTTGACCCTTGGTCTCCGAGGCCGTAGTCTAACACTGCACGAGTGGCGCTGTGGTCTAAACCACTGAGTCTCTTGGGCTTGCTGATCAGAAGGTCGGCGGTTTGAATCCCTGTGACAGGGTGAGCTCCCGTTGCTCTGTCCCAGCTGCTGCCAACCTAGCAGTTCAAAAGCACGCCCCAAAAAGTGCAAGTAGATGAATAGGTACCACTCCAGCGGGAAGGTAAACGACATTTCCATGCGCTCTGGTGTTCGGTTGCACCAGAAGCGGTTTAGTCATGTTGGCCACACGACCTGGAAATCTGTCTTTGGACAAACGCTGGCTTCCTCAGCCTAAAGCAAAATGAGTGCCACAACACCATAGTTGCCTTTGACAGGATGTACCGTCCAGGAGTCCTTTACCTTTTACCTTTCTAACACTAAACAAATCAATAAATTGATAAGAGGACCACACACTGATGAAAACCTCAGTAGAGCCCATTTGGGACTTCTAGGGCAGATGGGGCTCGTCCACCTGGGAAGGTAGCCCATGAAGGACAACTCTGACCCTAAGACGGTTAGATGGCTCCTTGTACGCCTCCTTCCCGCAACTCCTGCAGCCAATCTGGTGCCAAACATCTTGCTCTGCTTTCCTTTGGACCACATCAGTGAGGCAGAGAGGAGGGTCTTGTCATCTGAGCAGCCCAGGACCTCCAGACACACAGCCCAGGCTTGTACCCTGGAGAGGTCACTTTGGTTCTGCTAGCACAGCAGTTTTACTCTCGAGACAAATGCCAACAACAACAATGGGGAGAAGGAAGGTGGGCAGGTCCCATCCAACTATTAAGCTGAAGCACTGGGCTGCATCAATAGGAGTATAGCATCTAGATCAAGGGAAGTAATAGTGCCACTGTATTCTGCTCTGGTCAGACCTCACCTGGAGTACTGTGTCCAGTTCTGGGCACCACAGTTCAAGAAGGACACTGACAAACTGGAACGTGTCCAGAGGAGGGCAACCAAAATGGTCAAAGGCCTGGAAACAATGCCTTATGAGGAACGGCTAAGGGAGCTGGGCATGTTTAGCCTGGAGAAGAGGAGGTTAAGGGGTGATATGATAGCCATGTTCAAATATATAAAAGGATGTCATATAGAGGAGGGAGAAAGGTTGTTTTCTGCTGCTCCAGAGAAGCGGACACGGAGCAATGGATCCAAACTACAAGAAAGAAGATTCCACCTAAACATTAGGAAGAACTTCCTGACAGTAAGAGCTGTTTGACAGTGGAATTTGCTGCCAAGGAGTGTGGTGGAGTTTCCTTCTTTGGAGGTCTTTAAGCAGAGGCTTGGCAACCATATGTCAGGAGTGCTCTGATGGTGTTTCCTGCTTGGCAGGGGGTTGGACTCGATGGCCCTTGTGGTCTATTCCAACTCTATGATTCTATACCACTTCAAACAGTCATGGCTTCCCTCAGAGAGTCCTGGGAACTGTAGTTTGTAAAGGGTGCTGAGAGGAGTCAGGAGGCCTCACAGTTCCTGGAGTTCCCCAGAAAGGGGGATTAATGGTTGAACCCCTCTGGGAATTAGTTCTGCAAGAGGAATAGGGGGCTCCTAACATTTCTCAGAGGGACACAGGTGGCGCTGTGGTCTAAACCACAGAGCCTAGGGCTTGCCGAAGGTCGGCGGTTTGAATCCCTGCGACGGAGTGAGCTCCCATTGCTCAGTCCTAGCTCCTGCCAACCTAGCAGTTCGAAAGCATACCAGTGCAAGTAGATAAACAGGTACCGCTCCGGTGGGAAGGTAAACGGTTTTTCCGTGCCCTGCTCTGGTTCGCCAGAAGCGTCTTAGTCATGCTGGCCACATGACCCAGAAGCTGTCTGCGGACAAACGTCGGCTCCCTCAGCCAGTAAAGCGAGATGAGCACCGCAACCCCAGAGTCATCCGCAACTGGACCTAATGGTCAGGGGTACCTTTACCTTTACCTTTCCTTTTTAATGTTTCTCAGCACCTTTTAAACTATGCTTCCCATAACTGTTTCTGGGGAAACCATGACTGTTGAAGTCAGGTCGTTGGACCGGCCCACGAGCCGCC